CTGCTGAACACAACCAACTTATGCTTTTCCACTCTTCTGAAATGTCCATAGCCATGCAAAATAAAGACAACGTTAATTATAAAACATCAAGATAATGGAAGTTGAAAATATTTGACACCAAAGGGCGGGTGAAAAACAAAAGCATTAATTCAGGCTTAAACCTCAAATAATAAATAAATAGATTGAAATTAATATTATACCTTATTTTTAGTCTTACTGTCTTCCTTATCATCATCATCCTCTTCCTCTTCCTTGTAAAGACTCTTCATCATCCTTCTCAACTTGTGTCACAACATCTCATGCTTATTTCTTCCAATTTTTTTTCAAAGCACAACATCTTTATCAGTCACATATTTTCTTTGTCCAGCAAGGTGTCTCTGGCTTCAGCATCAAAACTAAATCACAAAAAATGGCTCGTATGTTAGTGTACTATATTAATAATATAGAATATAGAAATAATATAAACAATTCATCCAATAAAGTAAAGAACAATGAACATGGAAGATCAACAAACATGAAGTAGAAAACTGTAAACACACAAATAATGAGTAAAATTATGCAAAAGAACAACTTGAGAAGATGAAGAAGATAAACAGACAAAAACAGAAGAAATATGTGTACAAAAAGTGATTACCAAAGAAAAATATGCAACAACACATATCCTATTTATACACGTACTAAATACTAAATTCATTTTTTAAATTTTTTTTAAAGCTTCTAACAATTAATAAGCTTAACAATTACCCATGTAGGAAGTAGTGGAGAAAATTAATAGTCTTAACAACTACCTATGTAGAAATTAGTGGGAACAATTCCGTATTTTTAACTCATTTTAATGTTTTACGATTTAAAATAAAGTAAAAATACTAATTCTAAATGCTTATAACAATTACCGAGGCAGAAAGTAGTATGAGTTTAATACAGCTGGACCCCACCAAGAGAATTCTCCTCTTCTTTCTCCACTTATGAAGTTTGAATTTTAATTTTGAAAAGTTACCAAAAGAAGAAACATTTCAAATTGACTCAAGTGTAAACACAATAGTGAAATTGAAGGAGAGAGTAACACATCAACAAATTTTCTTCCTTAGTATATTAATAGACAATCTAATTTAGTATATTGACTCGGTATGAAGTCCATCAACTCTTATTTAGTTGTTCTTATTATTATTTTCTCCTCTTCTTTTACTTATTTTTTTCTTGCTTTTTATTTGATTTATCCATCACCGAATTATATTAATTTAGAATAAAAATATTCTTGCTCTTTATCTTAGACCCATCAATATTGCAATTGTATAATGGTGGGCCCTAAGTTTAGTGTGACTGTTCTAGCCTTCTAGGTGGGCACGGCATCCATTTTGACAGTACACCCAAAAGTCCTTTTGATTATATTATTCAATGTTTCTTATTAATTTTGGTCCTACCTCGGCATCTTTATCTTTTATCACAAATTTCTCATTCATATCACTTAAATAACTAGATAAAGTAATAATTCCCCATTTCTTTTCTAATGACAACAAAGGATTTTTCTGGTGGGAAAACTTAATGAATATCTGGAAAAAAAAATTGATCCTTACATTAGTATTTCACATGCCGATAAGAAAAAAAAATCACAAAAATGAAAACATGCACTACTTTGACAGTGTAAAGGTTACGATAATTTAAACTTTCAAAGTTAGTTTTCTTTTATTTTTAGCCTCTACTTCCTTTCTACTGAGGTGCCTTAGCATCACATTCTTTCAGTCCACATAATAACCAAAGTTGTCATTTGTCAATTCAATTACACCTGATTCTCTCAATATTCTATTGTGAGATCTCTTATGATCCTTAATTTTCTTGTAAGGAAATATTTTAGTTTAGTGATTTTTATTGCTCATTTACGTTTGTGATTTATTTCTATTTCATCAAGCGAGCAACTTGATTTTTATATAGTTTCTGAAGGCTGCATCAAGAATTAAGTCTGTGATTTTTATTTTTCTTATTGTTGGGTCTATCATTAATTAATTTTTTAGTTTGCAAAAACTGCTTCGTTAAAAATCAAACATGTCTTGGAAATCATATATTATGATCAAATGGATAAAAAATCACATGTTATTAGAGTACTGTCCTTCGACACAATAATTGGTTTGCAATCATCAAATGTTACACACCCTATAAAGCAAAGTTTTATTTAACAGAAGGGGAGCCTGAACAAAAAACATGATATGTTTACAAGGGAATAAACTATTCAGCAAGGTATATTATATAAGTATGGTTACAAAGGGATAATGACCCTTAATTACACATCAGTGCACAAAGTTCACCGAGATATGAAGGTAGAGATAAAGGTTGATTTATTTTCAATATCGAACACGTGATTTTCTAGTCACAAAAACCAACTTTATCAACATTTCCCATTGTAACAAAAGTTGATAAATAGAAAACAAAACTCAGCATAAAAATAAAGGAAGCGTGAATATAAATAATGTTGTGCTAAACAAATCACATCACAGGAATTAAACCAAGAGCACACTCAGACATATCTCTGGTAAATGGTAATTTACATGCAATTATGTATAAAAGTGAATACATTTGCATGGCCCTAGGCTCTCAGCACCACCTCCAGTATACCAAAAAATTAACAAGAAACTATCAATTTAAAAAAGAAAAATCAAATACAATAAAAGGGCGAGCCAGGAACAACGGTAAAGTTACTCCTTTGTGATTAAAAGGTTATAGGTTCGAATCCAGCTAATAGACTCTTTGCAATTATGTAAGGGTAAAGCTACATACAAGGATTGTCATCATCCTTATCCTCACTAGTCGGGATTTAATAAGAAGTGAATCAGAAAGTAAAATGTCCTATTATAAAACTCAGATATTGGTTAGAATCCTTTCTTTATTGAAAAGATAAAGTCATCAAATGTAAGACGTTAATTTATGGGAACATTTGGTTAAGACACATATATATGACAATCAGAACATTAATGCTACAAGAAGACCAGAAAAGGGTTCCTTTTGAGAAAACAAGTACATTTTTAATCTATGAGTATGTGAGCGCGCTTGTGTGAGATTGAGAAAAAGAAAAACATGACCAACATGAGAAAAACTAATTTACAATTTACACCTCCCCACCCTGGTGGTTTTGCATAAGATCAGAATTTAACAAACAATAGCCAGAGAATGACTCAATGAGTACACTTTAACTCAAATTACAAACAATCATCGGTAAAGAAACAAGTCGGTTAATGTGAAAAATAAGACAAAGTCAATATCCTTGCATCTACTAATAAAAACATGCAGACATAAAGTAATTCCTTGCACCTACTCAAATCCCATCCGTTATCACTTAGATGTAAGTTTACAAGTTGCAGAGAGCCTTGTGCACGAGGATAATATTTTTATCATTTTGAGCTTTGCCCGTTGATTTGTTGTGTAGTGACTGCAGATTGTCATGGACCATAAATGTCGTCTTGCATTCCGCATGATATATCTTGCAAATCGAAACTCACCTTTCAAGCCTCAATATCTATTAAGACAACATGTTTTAAGGTGTAATTTGACGGGTTTAGGAACATATCATGGGATATGGCCAATCTCCTCCTCTTTCTTCGTCTTCTTGAAAGAATCCAAGTTCATTGTACTGTCAATAGTAGTCATAAAATAAAATCATGTGAAGAAGAGATAGCAACAAAAATTATCCTTAATGGCTTAAACTTAGGAAACCTAATCAATGCGACGAATTTGAAGATTGGGGCAATGCTTGAGCACTTCTCACACCTCAAGCCAATCTTTAGGCTCTGCTTGGGAGTTTAGAGGGGAATGAAGGGAAGGGAAATGAAGGGTATTTCCTTCCATTATTTGGAAGTTAAAACCCTTCAAATTGGAGGAACTTTAATTTTAAGAACAAGAAATGTTTTGAAAGATTTTGTGAAAATTCCTAAATCCTACCTCTCTCTTTTGAAACTCACAAATAAAGGACGAAATTAATAAAGTCCTTCCATTTCTTTCATTTTTTTTCTAAAACTAACTCTGAAACGAGCTCTTAGTATAATTAGAATAAGAGAATACAATTTGGGTTAAATTGTGAAACACGCGAATAATGCCATACTCATTAGCCATATTTATCTCTTCGCTATTAACCACATCATTCATCTACGAGAGTTACAATAACAAATAACATAAATCTCATTTTCCTTAAAAATAAAATAAAATAAAACTAATTACATATATTATAAATCAAATTTTTAGTACCTTATGTATGTGTAGAAAATCTACACTGTTAACTACTTCTAAGGGAATATATTTTGAAATATGTGCATAGACCAAATCAGGTAAGCTTTTAAACCCTCCCACATTAGAAGAGTTATCAAAATGCAAATCTATTGCTTGCAAATCCTCAAGAACAAGACAGGCAGAAAGAAGCTTCGTGAGATAATCTACGTTATGAGAAAGTAACGCGAAGCATATACAGGATTTTAAGTGAGGCAAAATCAACTGAAGAAAGAGATTGCACTATTGATCCCACCAACTTGAGAAACACTAGGCTTCTTTGGCTGAGAATGGTATAAGGCAAGTTAGAATTATAGGCAAAAGGCAGAGAAAGGACCAAATGCTCAACTCTGCGTTGCTGTAGTGCGGCACTAACCCGGGTGTTGATATTAGTAGGATCACAAAGAGAAGAACGATTAGCTTAGGCAGAATCTTTGAATGGATTGGTGAAAATCTTGCGAGAATATAACTGAATCACAGATTGAACAAAGCGGGGATACTTCTTATTAGTTAGATAATCAATGTCGTCAAAGTTGAGAGTAGGGACAGAGCGCTATAAAGGATTCCACCATGGTTGTTGAATCGCAATACGTATCGTGAATCGTTCGGCTGCTGCTTTTTTGTATAGTGAATCTTGAATCGTATCGAATCGTAAGATTCAGAAACAAATTAAAAATAACTTAAAAATATATAATATCATATAAATCCAAATTAAAAAAAAATCTAAATACCAAAATCCATAAGTAACCAAATCTAAAACCAGTTATTTCTCATATTCATTAAATTTCAAGACTAATATTATCACTATTATCACTATCAGGATCTAGTATTGGCATATCTTGTCCTTCATCCTCTCCATTAGTAGAGTCATCTGACTCATCTCCCATATCTTGTTCAATAATTTGAGATCCTTTTCTGTTATCATTCATGTCGACATCCTCTTGTATTAAGATGCCTTTGCCTTTATCATTCCTATCATCTTGAAGATTTCGAGGACCTAAAAAAAATATATACATAATGTAAATAAATATATTAGATAAGGTGTTTGATTAAAAGAAATATTATATATGCAAATATACCTCTCTTTCTCTTTTTGCTTTGGTCTCCTTCATCAACGTTGAAGCACTCATGAACATCCATCCAAGATTCCTCATCCATTAGGCAAGGCTCCTCTTGCTCAGTAATCCATTCCTCGTCAGAATCTAAATCTGATAAGCAGATAGGATCATATGTGTCTCCTTTTTCCTCCCTTTGTTTTTGCCTAATTTCAAGTTGAAGGTTGTATTTAACAAACACAAGAGCATTCAACCTTTGTTGCTCTAAACGGTTTCTTCTCTTTGAGTGAATTTGATCAAACACACTCCAATTTCTCTCGCACCCTGTAGCACTGCAAGTGAGGCTTAGGATACGAATAGCTATTGTTTGCAACTCTTTGCAGTCGTCTCCAAAACTATTCCACCATAAAGCTAGCAAAAAAAATATAATTGATAAATAAATATTTGGTTAATGACTTAATTTTTAATTTTAAAAATATCAAAACATAATTTAATCAATACACAAAATTCGATGATTACCAGGTTGCTTCCTAACTCTAGTTGCAATTGCTAAACTATTTCCAAAGAGTCCTTCAGCCCTGTCAAATTTCTCAATTTGGGAATCAATTGTGATCCTTGTTTCAATATCAGGACACATCTTCTCCAATGTCTTCCATAAGCCAATTTTAACCTCACGATCTGGGTTGAACTTTGTGTCATAGTGGAACCTATATAATTATTATAAATTTAGAATAAGGCTTAATAATAAATCAAATATAAAATACAAAGAATTTTATATAAATAAATAAATATAAAGAACCTATACTTACTTTGGATTAAGAAAATAGGCGGCTGCATGAAGAGGCCTATGAAGTTGTAAATCCTAACGCTTGTCAATGATTTCCCATACATCCTTATATCTCTTTTCCTCATGATTAAAACTCTTTGCTATTTCTTCCTTTGCTCTATCCATAGCCTCATAAATGTATCCCATTGCAGGTTTTGAATCACCATCCACAAGTCTAAGAACTTTCACAAGAGGAGACACAATTTTCAAGCAATAATGTATTGATTTCCAAAACCTTTTATCAGCCAAAACAACATTTTCTGCAAATTTGGCTTCCGGCCTAGAGCAATAAGCACTATTAACCCATTTTTCAGATGTAAACATAGATCGAAGTGCAGTCTTTTGTTTCAAAATTGACTGCATTGTCAAATATGATGTAGCAAACCTTGTTATTGCAGGCCTAACTAACTCTCTACCTTTGGAAAAGGTTCTATACAAATTCAACACCCATGTGTGCCTATAAATGAAAGTTGTAATTTTTTTTGCTTTCCAAATGGTATTATAGAACACTGTAATGCCACCAATATCTTCCAAAATCAAATCAAGACAGTGGGCTGCACAGGTGACCAAAAGAGTTTCTTTCTTTTATCCATCAACTTTTGTCCAGCAGATACAAGGGCTGAAGCACTATCTGTCACTACTTGAACGACATTCTCTTCTCCAATTTCTATCACCATCTCATCAAGTAATTCAAACATTTTTTCAGCATCTTTAATAAAGCTGCTTGTATCAACAGATTTTATAAAAACAGTCCCTCTAGGACTATTAACAAGAAAATTAGTAAGAGATTTACCCTTTCCATCAGTCCATCCATCTGACATCAATGTACAACCAGTTTTCTTCCATTCCAACTTAAATTTATCCAAACTAGTATGGACAAGATCAACTTCTTTCTTCAAATATGACACCCTCACTTCATGATAAGTTGGTGGTTTTAAGCCTCTACCATATTCACTAATAGACTTCACCATATTAATAAATAGTGGACTCTTAACTAAATTAAATGGCAATGCATTGCCATATATGCATCTACAAATATCTCGAACCACCAAATCTCTATCCTTCACCATTGAATTTATAGTTTGTTGTTTCATAGCAGATGAGCCACTTCCACTTTTTCCTTTTATCATAAAACTATCCATGCTCCCTTTTTTTTGTGAATCTTTATCATCGAAGCACTCTAGTTCATCATCATCTCTTGCATCCTCTAATATTTTTTTAAATAGATCCCTTATCTCTTCCGGCACTTGTTGGCATGGAGCAACTTCTTTGTGTGTTCCAGCTAGATGGTGCTTCATTCTAAATGTTCCCCTCCACATTGTTTTGGGACAATAGTTACATTTAACATTCAACCTATTCGCAAGGGATTTACAATGATCCCAAGTTATATCCTTCTGTTTTTGGGATTTCTTCTTTGGAGCCATTTTTATTATTTTTATTACTGTAAAAGAGAGAAAAAAAAATCAAAGGCTACTTACGTACTATTTAACTTCACAGTAAAAATAAAATAAAACTATAAAGGCTAGTTGTTAGAGAAAAGAATTAGTAGAACCGATTATTCATAAAATGGTTCGGTTTGATTTTATTTTTTTTTTGAACTTTTTGTACACCTCTGTTCAGAACCCTCCAGATTGTTGAATTCTGTTGCTAGCTTGCCAAAGTAACCAAAAGCTTAAAGATACATCTTTTGTGAAAAATATATTAGGTAGGTTCGTAGGTGTCTTCAGCTAATGCACTAATACTCAATTGAATTTATTCACTATTTAAATGAAAAAGGAAATAACACTTTCATTAGGCAATAACACTTTCATTCAGCAATAGGCAATAGCACTTTCAATTTCAACATGACAGTGACACATACACAAAAAAGCTGATTTGAAATGTGTACGTGTCTTATAAATAGAAACAATAATCTATTTATAAGACACATCCTCTCATAGTCTCATGCATTTTAAATTGAACGACTTCAGCAAGCACTGTGTCTGTAATATTTTAATATATTTACAATTTACAAATTCCAATCACAAATCAAATCACCCATTTCAAAAATAATACCCGTACTCTTTTGCCTTATGCAAGTCTTCTTCTACACAGGGTCTGCAAGTCTTTTGAGCGCTACTCTTCTGCAAGTCTGCAAGGCGTTTTCTTTTCTCCTATGCAAGTCTGCAAGGCGTTTTCTTTTCTCCTCTGCTTCGTGTTTCCTTTTGTTTTTTAAATGGGATTTTGAATCCCTGATTTTTCTGAAGCAACCTTTCATATACATGCCGTTCCAAGCGACTGTTGAGGCGACTGTTGAGTGTTTTTTTTTAAATTTTTTTTATATTCTGAATCGCAAAAAAAATTCGATTCACGATTCGGTTGCGAATCGTTCGATTCTACGATTCCAAATCACGATTCATGCCAAAAATGATTTGCTATTGCGATCCGTATCGATTTGACATTGTATCGTATCGTATCGCACGATACGTATCGCGTATCGTGCGATACTAACAACCATGGATTCCACCTCCTTGAGAGAACACTTGGTGAAACAGCTTCTTTGGTTAGAGAAAAGAGAGAATGTGACAAAGAACTGTATCTGGTAAAGTGCTAATCGTATCAACCATTATTTGAAGCTTTATAGTAGAAAGAAAGTGAATATTACAAATGCTTCTGAACTGGTAAAATAGTTCTCTTTCTCATGAAATACTGCATCTCGTCTTCTCATTATCTTCTTGTTGATTGGATCCCAAAGTCGAAACCCGAACTCACATTTCGACGTACCGACGTAGATGCATTCTTTAGTCTTTGCATCAAGCTTCACCCTTTCGTCTTTAGGGATATGCATGAAAGCTCGGCATCCAAATACTTTTAACTGATCATAGGCCGCTTTCTGACCTGTCTAGATTTTTTCTGAAATTTCTGCTTCAAGTGGTCGTGATTGTGAGAGGTTGATCAAGTCAACAGTTGTTCTAATGGCTTCTCCCCAGAATGATTTAGGCAATATGGCATTAGATAGCATACTTCGGACATTCTCTTAATAGTCTGGTTCATCCTTTCAGCAAGTCCATCCAGCTAAGGTGTCTTGGGGATTCTTCTTAAGTCGAATCCCGACCGCTTTGCAATATACATCAAAAGGGTCGCAATACTCACCACCATTATCCGATCGAACCACCTTCAATTTCTTGCCAGTCTCCCTTTCAACCATTGCATGGAATTCTTTAAAGGCTTGAAGTACTTGGTTTTTTAGTTTTCAACAAATATACCCACACTTTGCAGGAAAGATCATCAATGAATGAAACAAAATACTGAGCTCCTCTAAGGGATCTCTCCGACATGGAGCAGACATCAGTATAGATAAGGTCTAGAATATACCTGCGTCATTTGGGGTGATCCGGTTTCTCGAAATAAATCCGATGCTGCTTTCCAGCTAGGCAGTACGTGCAGATCTCCAACGCTTGGCCTTTCAACCCCGTCAATAATCCTTTCTTGTTCAGGATTTGGAGCTCTTTCTTGCTGATGTTGCTGAGGCGTTTGTGTCACAGCTCCAGTCTAGGTCTATCTCGGACTAAGTTGGCTTCTCCGCTATTAATCTTTTTTTGCATCACATACAATGAGCCTTCCTTCTTACCTCGGGCAACAACCAAGTTCCCCTTGACCAGCTTCCATCTACCACTACCCAAGTAGTTCACTAACCCGGCATCCTCAAGCTTGCCTACCGAGATGAGGTTCAGCCGTATGTGAGGAACATGCCTTACATCTTGCTAGTCATGGTCACATCACCGGCACCAACAATCTTGTTGGTCACATGATTTCTCATCTTCACAACTCCAAAATCACCACCTCTGTATGAGGAGAAAAAAACTTTGTGTGGAGTAACATGAAAAATGCACCAGAGTCAATAATCCAGGTGCAGTAATCATACGCAACATTCAAATATTTGTCTTCACCAAGGAGGAATATCTCGGCATCCGAGTTAGCAACCAGCACAGTGGTGCTCTTGTCTTCTATCTTCTTTGGAATAATCTGATCCTCCTCCACAGTGTCGTTCTTCTCATCTTTTTGCAGAGTCCTGCAATCCGGCTTCTTGTGACTGGGCTTCCCACAATAGAAGCACTTTAACTCATATTTTGGCCTAGACCAACCTCTGGACTTGTCACGACCTTGGTTTTTCTTACGACCCAAGCGTCAGACCTTCCTCTATTCTCGGTCACCTTTGCCTTAGATGTGTTGGTTACACTTCATTCTCTTCTTCTAGGTTCCTGATTCAAGAGGTTACCTATTATGACATCCATATTTAATTGTCCATCAGGGATTGAGTTGCTTAATGTTACTACCAAAGTATCCCAGCTTTCTGGCAGCGAACTCAACAGGAGCAAAACCTACATCTTGTCATTAATTTTCATCTCGGCTTTAGACAACTGATTCACAATACCTTTGTAGTTGTTGAGGTGTTCAATAATGCTCATGTCGTCCTTGTATTCAAGCTTCATAAGTCAGTGAACCAGGTGTGCTTTGTTCCTGGGAGTCTTCTTCTGAATCATGGACTCCAACTTCGTCTATAACTCGTACACATTCGTGAACTCATACATGTGCTCAAAGAGATTTTTGTTAATATATTTCCTAATCGTGGCTATTGCCTTCTGACTCAAGATCTCCCACTCTTTATCAGTTCTGCCTTCAGGATTCTTTTTAAGGATGATGTGCTCATATAGATTTTTGCAGTTAAGATAGTCTTCAATCATCGGTCTCCAGTAGGTGAATTTGTTCGTGGTTAGCTTGAACATATCTTCATCATGTTAGATTCCATTGGTCTCCATCCCGTCTCCCTCAGAACCCGTCGAACTCGGGATCTGATACCACTGTTGGGAACTCGGTTCCCTCATTCTTGGCTAAGAAGCCTTTGCGAAAGTCAAATGTCGAGCTAGGAGCTCGGCTCTTCAATCAGAGGTCGGCCTGTATCAACAGGCCAGCCAGCGCAGCGAAAAAATTAATAACATAAAGAGGGAGGGGGGAGAGAGAGAAAAGAACACAACAGATTTTAACGTGGGAAAACTTTCTCCAATGAGAAGAAGTAAAAAAATCCACGGGACACTAGTCCAGAATCAAACTTCCACTATGAAAATAATGGGTTATAAAAGATCAAGCATCACCAACAATGGTGATATACTCAAACCTTACCTTCAATGGTGGTTTTCTCTCAAATTTTCCTAAGGAGGTATAACACTCAAGCTTCTCCCTAGAGGTACTCTCAAAATAACGCTTTGAGCTTTTCACTCAAAACCCTCAAATCTCAGAAGTCAACCTTTTTCTTTTCTTTCTCTAACATACCTCCACCCCATGACTAATGTATTTATAGAGAAGGAATAAGTTTAGGGTTTTAGGGTTTCTTAGACCCTCATGGATTTTGGGCTTAGCATTAAGGAGGAAGTCCAACAAAATGATAAAATTTATCATATTGATATTTATTTATTAGAGCCCGAATCAGTTTGAATGAAGCTTTCAAAAAATGTTAGCATGAGATATTTTAGTGAAGAGGAAATGGGAATGTGAAAGATTTGTATGAGGGAAATTATTTGCAAAATCATTGCTTTGATGTTCATTGTGTAAAGTTTTGGTCAACACCATTTAAGTGAAACAGCTACCTCTTGCAAAGTGTTATAAACCTATTGTATTTATAATTTGATTAAATCTTCTCTACTTTTAGAATAAATCTAACCTTGTAGGTTGCACTTTTTGGTCCTAAGATGTAAAGAAAACATTATAAAGATCATATAAAACAAAGGAGTGAAATTATTTCAATGCCAACCTAAGTTCGAACGATTATTTTTAAAGTCTCTAATATGCCTAAATATGAATCCAAATCAATATATGGACTGATATGTGAAGATTAGCATTTTTCCAAACTATACTTTAAAGGAAAAAAAAATGCAAAAGTCCTTTCGCCATCATTGGCCTCACTTTGCTTCATGATCCTTTATTCCCCGAAGCCCAACTATTTTCATACATGAATTTGGTGGTGATAAACTGCAGCAGCAGTTGCCTAGTTTTGGCATGTTAGTATCATAATCAGTTCTGTTTAGGAACCCATGAATTGGATACTTTAAAGATCATTTCACATCAATTTTCAAATGGAATAAAATATATAATCTTGATGTATGGCTTGCTGTTGCCTTGCTAACAGTTATGCCAGTATGCGTGCAAGTATACGCGACAACAACTAATATAGGGCTTGTTTGAGTCCCAGTTATCGTTCTCACAAGGATCTTTTGACGAAAATTTCAAAAACACAAAGTGCAAGTGCTTAAACTGAATTTCTGAAAAAGAAACATAAAAGCAAAACTAATCTAAAATAACACTGACCACGTTACTCTATTTTTTAGAATTTTTTGAATTAATTTCTTGAGCTAAAGGATGAAAAATAGTAGGAAAGCAATTTAAGTATCTGATGTAAAAAGATTTTTATATAAGAAAAAAAATGTAAAACAGAATGATGATTAAAATTTAAAATCAGAGGAGAAGAAAACTGAGTTGGTGAAAATGTTTAGAAAAAAAGGTCGGGCTTTGGTTTACCTTTCCCACAACATTGGATTGACTGCTAATTACAGATTGCTTAAATTTAATCCTCAGTTAAAGGATCACTCTTGTTGATTTTAATCTCTTAAAATCATTTTATCCCAAACCTTCATCTACACATCTCTATGTTAAATGAAGTAAGGACTCATGCATTTCAAGTCCAAAGTTACATGGTGGTTGTCCTCATCTCTAAGTGACAGCCCTTGAATAATCTCTCATTCAAGTCCATGTGCTTAATGCATTTCCAGAATTAGTCACCTCTCGATGACTTCTTCCTAACATAACATCTACCATCAGGCCTCAATGACAGAATGTTTAAATACAAAGCATAGCATTAAACAACTGAGAATTAAAAATTAACAATCAACCATCACTCAGGTTCGGGTAACCTAGACCCAACCTTCAAAGGTTTAGCTCATACCCATAAGGGTTGAGCTACAAAAACAAAAAATGAAATGAAAATTACAAACAAAATAAAGTGCAGAAAGCTTAAAATACAACACGAGTTCTATCACAGGAATAGCCTCGGTACTGTACTGACATATTCTAATCCAAACAAAATAGGCTCCATTACAGTACCAGAAAACACAAAAGTAAACTAAATAAAAAATGGAGAAGAAGAATACAGAAGACCAAGAGAGCCTCACATCAACTATTCATCCTTTATAGCTCCCTTCCCTCGCATGCATGGGCTTTGGGCCTCTCACCAACAACAATCATCCACGTGCTTCTTCCAATCGTGCGATTCCTTTGCAAAGGCAGTAACCGCACTTCAAAAATTGCTTCAGCCAACACTCCTAACAAACTCAAGCTCGCCCAATCAGTTATGGGTAGTGTTTGGCATTTTCTATTTGAATCAAAATGGCTAGGGTCAGTGTTTTGGTTGAACGTTCACTTAAGGGACCCTGGGTGAGGGGCTAAGGCTCGATGGTTAAACCGAAATCAAAGACTGGTGTGGTTTGGTGGTTTATTTTGTAAAGAAGAATCAGGATGGAAGGTTTGGGATTGTGGTTGGATGAAAGTGGGTTGGTTCACACGGTGAGGGTTAGGGTTCGATGGTATCAAAATGCTTTTTTTTTTCAATTGTATCTCACGCTGCCTTGTCTTTCTTTCTTTCTTCTTTCTTTTCTTCTCTTTCTTCAACTGGGCTCTTTTGCCTTGCCTTACAAAATCCAGCCCACTTCTTTATTCTTTCTATTCTTTTCTTTGGAAAGTATTAATATGTGGGCCTGAAAAATAAAATTGAAGTCCATTAGCACTTAAATCAATAACATTTCATCTCAATGTAATTGGGGTATCTATTAACACAAAGAGTATTCTTTTTTTACATTTTCATATTAAAAGCCATATGTTTTAAGTCACATTTCATGGACTTATCACTTGCCTAAGACCATTAGGTTGATGACTACTAAGTTTCATGCGTAGTTGATTACTACTAAGTGTGGATATTATGCAAGTTCATTTTTTTATTCTACCTTGCGTTGATTTAACTTTACTTGAAAGTAAGGGATAAGATTTAACTCGCGTCCCCACAATTACAGAAATTCTATATAATGTAAAAAAATCATTTCACCTAAAAATTTAAGGTTGTTTAAGTTAAAACCCATTAATGGAATTATATTTCTCTAACATTAATATCTTTGATTAGAACAAATGTAAGGTGTGGAATAAATGTGGCTAATAGGAATATATCATAATTTAAGAAACAATTACTGGCATGCCATTGCTCAGTTTTCTTCTGAAGAGCATCTTGCTATCCTACATTCCTACTTACCTTAACAGTAACTAAATAGCACTACATTTGGCATTTGGTCAAGAGAAGTTTATCCGCATCTCAACTATTAATAAATTAAATAATGATCGCAATTAATGTTCATATTTTGGGCATGGAACATAGGTTTGAAAACAAACTTGGAACTTATTATAATTATTATTTTTTGTGTCTATGGCATGGCACATAAATATGTAATGTAAGATGACACTCACATTTTTCTATAATTTTATAGGGGTTACATTTACTTATGCAACATAAGAGGAGCTTTTTTCCTACATATATAACTAAGTGGGCCCATTAGTTTTAAAAAAAATATTATTAACACTGTTATGGACTGGATCCATATCCTAACAACCTTATTACTATCAAGATTGGATAAGTATATCGCAACTATATAATCTAGAAAGGATCAAGGGATAAGATCTCTATCCCCATCAATCAAGTTGGATTTCATATCAACTGGGATATCTCAAAGGCCCATGACTATGAAGGTAATCCTTATAAATAAGAGGCTAAAGACCTTAGTTACACAATTTTGACCTATTTACTATTACTGCCAATACTCTGCACACACCTACGTCTTGGCTATACGCAGTGGCGGACCCAGATAAAATAATTCATGTCCGTATATTTAATGGTGGGGGTTCGAGGGCAGCCCCCGAAATTTATTTTGATATAACTTTCACATTGAGGAGTTGACTTATCAATGCTCCTGCATTGATAAGAATGATATAACCTTTCCCACCAAAACCAGCCTACCCTGATTTGTCATAAGCAGCCCAATGATTTTACAGACAAATACTTAGCAACCCCGGATTAAGAATGTCAAGAAAGAAGGAAAAACTTATAGGGTGAATAGCAACTCTAGGCAGATAGAAACATAAACTAGTGAAAATGATGCATAAATTAAATGTTGGTTAACAAGTCATCGTATTAAGCCACGCTTAATTAAATATGCGGAATATCTTTTTCTTTTCAATTATGACGCCATTAAACTTAGCCAAGTTGATTACTTAATCAAGTTCTTAAAAACATTTCCTGTATGTAAACTGCAAAGGACAGCTAACTGAAATACCTCAATATATAAATAATTGTGAGTATCTAAAATCACGGCTGTACAACACTTAGTCCGGACATAATCCTGATACATTATTACAACTCGAAGCTAAAGTAAGACATAGTCAATCAGTGTGGCATGGACAATCCCCATGCTCACCAAAGAAGGCAACATAGCCAAACAAGGTCTCAACAACAGCAGCAACAAAATCATAAAGCTAACAGCAAATAGCAACAGGCATAATCTAGCGCAGGAGAACGTAAATCGTAAAAGGAGAACGTAATCTTTATGTTAATGCTTTTGAGCTATGTATGTTGACATACTTGCTGGTCCTAAATCAGATTGTGATCTACTGTGTGTTGGACTTGAGCTGAGAGGACTCTTGGCATTGGATAGTGAGCTTGCAAGGTAAGCTTTCGTGTCCTCGGTTTAGCCATGTTGTGGTTCCACCATGTCCCATGGGGGTATGGTTATATGCATGTTGTGTTACATGCTTTTGATGTTTTGAAAATGCTATTGAGCTGTTATATGCTAGTGTCTTTATGATATGCATGTTGTGTTACATATAATATGAGAAGCATTAACTCGTAGTCAACTAGAGTTGTGACCTAATAAATATGGCCCAATTGTTGAAAGAGACAATGATTTGAAATACAACAAATTACAATCGAATCCAAGTCTCAATAAAGCAGCAGATGTGATTGTGATTTGTTTGGAAAGAAAAGGAAAACAACATATTTGGAATGATTTGAGATTAAAGATTTGGGATGTATTTTGAATTATTTATTTGTAATTATTTATTTATTTTTAGATGTTAATTATTGTTATTTTATTTTAGGAAGTTTTATTATTTTTAGAATTTTAGATTTAGAATTTTGAATCAATTTGTAATTAGTCTATAAAAGGGTGCTTATGACCCTTATTCTAGGAGTTGAATATTATTATTTTGTTAATTGAAATTGAAAACCAGAGGGTTACTCTTTTGGGAAATCCTATCTTTCTATTTAGCCACTTTTCTATACGCTTTCGGCATCAGTTCTTCTTTTATTTAATTTCTAACATCTTATTCAATCCACCTAACGTGACTTCAAACCTTGTCAATGGCACTAAATAATGTCTCACACTATTATTTTACGGTACCAGGTATAATTTGGTTAATTATCATTTTACTCTAAAATTATCACTAATTGGACTTTTGTCTAAAAGTAACTTTAATTCATTTAATTAAGTCTTTTTGCTCACTTACATATGTCTTCCTACAAGGGCACAATGGTCAATCACTCAAATACATGTCGCTAATAGGAATATATGATAATTTAAGTAGGGCGTCCAAAATAATTGAATCGAAGCATTTTTTTTTTTTTGAATTGATTTTGAGAACCAAACTAATTTTATAAATTAGTTCAAAAATTAAATCGAATCAAAAGAATTGGTTGGCAACCAAATTGCATACCCAAATCAATTCTAAACTGAACCGGTTCGAAACCGTTCTAATACATAAACCAATTGGTTCTGAACTGATTAATAAAAAATATTTTGGAACCGATCACAAAAATAATAATAGAGTTTGATGTTTCTCATATTATATGTAATAATTTTATCTCCTTCACACATATAAAAGTTTGTGGGCCCAAATTTTTCTTTCTCTTTCTTCTTTTCACATGACCCCATACAGACCCCACATATTATTTTGTATATGTAAGAGATAAAATTATTTTATCTCTTACTACATAAAAAAACATCAAACTAGACATGGGTAGAGGCTATAAAATTTGGCAGCTATACAAAACAGATAAAAGGATGACATGTACTAAAATTTTTGGGGATGAGTTTTTGGCATGTACTAATTTTTATTTTTATTTTGACTCTGCCACTGCATCAAACCCATAATAATAATAATAATAATAATAATAATAATAATTTCGGTCGACCCATGCCTATCCTTAAATTTAAGAAACCATTATTATAGTCTTTTCCATCATTTACATTGTTATCCCTCGTCCGTTTACATTCCCTTTACTCTTTCCTTCCTAATTCACAGTCAAATGAATTCTCCACAACAATTCTCACTATTCTTAGTGCAAAGTAAACATATTGTAGTTTTGTTTTCAGTGCAGTTTGTTTAGATTCATCCACTTGAGATTTCAAATCTGTAAACAATTTGCATTCCATTTCAGGATATCGTGGTCCACTCACCAATCTAGATAGCTCAAGAGCAACAAAACAGTGATTTTTTTTTTTTTTTTGTCATAAAGCAGAGAAGCGAGAAAGGAAGATATTAAATCTTTCGGGTATATTTTTGGCTTCTCTACATATCACGTGCTTTTTCGGTTCTTCCCTTCATTTATGGCTCTGAATAGTGATCTTTTTTCATATTTTTATCCTTTGGTAATTAATTTAACCTTAACCATTATTTTCGAAAGGTTTCTAGTAAATGTCGTACCTTTGATGTTAATTGAACAATACTTGAATGTTGATGACAGCTAGAGACAAAACAGAAACGATGAAGAAGAGTTGTTCAGAGTCTTCAACCAAACCAAACACCAAAAACAATTCTCGATCCTCAGCGAAACCCAACAACAACAACAAACACAAGCCTCCTTTCATGCCAGCAAAGGATGACACCAAACCTGTGCTTCAAGACCCAGTACTCTCTCTCTCTCTCTCTCTCTTCAGTTATATGTTGCATTCCATAACTTGGATTGTTATAAGGTTATTTGTTATTTAGCTTTGTGATTCTTCTTCTTCTTCTTTTTCTGTGTGTCAGATACTGAGGTCTGACCCAATTGAGACAGAGGAAGCTGTGCTGCGATTACCTCCAATTTCAATTCCCAAATCAACTTCTCCACCTGAAATGGCGTAATTGTGTTTAATTTTTAAACTTTTAGTCACTGCTCATGTTGAATCTTCTTTTCTTCTTTCTGTTTTCAGCAATGGGTTTTGGTTTTTGAATGTTGTGGCTCATTACATGAGATTCCCTAATAATCCCAGTTCTTAAAGAGTTGTAATTTTTATTTTTATTTTTATTTTTTTGTGTGCTGTACTTACTGTCTTTTACTGAATGAAGTTTTTGTGATCATGGTTGGCCTTCAAAGGTTGTTTTCCAATTGGGATGCTTGGGTTGATTCTTGAAGAAATGGAGGGTTGAGTGTATGATTTGTTTGTTACTCAATATTGCAATAGGCAACGTTCATTATGATGGGTAGTTTTTAGCATTCTCTCTGTGGTAGAGGATTTCTGATAAGGCAGGAAATAATTGTATGATTTTTTTATTTTTTTGTTTTCCTGGTTGAATTGCTTTGGTAGTTGGTAGAGCATCTGACATGGAGTTTCCTGTTGTGAAGTTGAGGGTGGTCTCTCAAAAGACATGGTCAACTTTTTCACTTTGTTTAGTGTTGAGATATATAAAACCATTAATATAGCCTCAACTAACGGCTTAAGTTTTTTGTTGAATTGATTCTTTACATTATATCAGAGCCTCAGTGTACCGAGTTCGATCTTCACCGCCCTCCACTTTCTTTTTAGTAAAATTTCTTTCTTCGCACAGGTAGATGGGTCTGTGCATTATCCACCCTTCAAGCCCAGTAGACTCTCGTGTGAGAGAGCGTAAATAGCTTAAACTTTTGAGTTGAATTGATTCTTTACATTTAGTTAGTTGTGGAATGGTAGATTAGATCTTGCTGTTGTGCTTGCATCTTGAATATGTTACACAGAATAATACTCACACTCATCTTTGCTGGGGACAAGTTTAGTGTTGATTAGCACGGCGTAGAATATTTTGTTATCATATTCAATCCATCCATCCATCCTTCAAAGATTTTTTACTGTTCTTACAGATAGGCTTTAAATTTTCTTAATTTTACGTTTGACTTCTAAAGCAGAAAACATCCCTCCTTTTCATCTCAAAAATTATGTCTGGCTTGAAAGTTGAAAACTGTCAAACAGTAGTGGCGTAACAATAATGAATTAGGATTTATAGCCCTTTAGGCGCTTCTCTAGTTATGTCAGATTGAGAATTTAGAATGCATATTGACAGTCTACACAGTCATATGGTTTATTTACTACTACTTGAGTGGGATTGGATATTATAGCAATAAATATTAGTTCACATACAATTTTTAAAATTAAATTTCTTTTACAGCTTGAAGATGTTATCGTTCTATTGTTTTGCTTATCGTTTAGGTGTTTTGTGATTGAGGAAATTCTCCAATTGAGTTCATTGGATTGATAGTAATATCCTTTTCCATGTGGGATGGCTCTTTATATTTGGTAGTTCTTTCAGTGAGTGCCTTTGGTTTGCTATTTTAATTTTCTCTTCAACTGCCATCATGACATGATTTTATCAATACTTTGATGACTCTGGGAAGTTAGGTTACCTTTTTATATTTGGGCATAAACTATGAAAAATGTCACAAGCAGAGCTTCATAAATGGAATATGAACCTAAATAATTAGTCCATGTCTTTGTATGACTCCCACCTTGTGTGGAATTTGGCTTCTCCATTTTGCCCATTATGGCAATCACTTCAAGTCTAAGACCCTGCAGATTGCTAGCTTGCAAAATCTAATGATGCCAATAATCAATTTTTGTGGAAGTAGAGTAGGATTATATTGACGAACTTTTTTTTTACAAACTTATAAATTACATTATGTTTGACCGGTAATACTCTACCCAAGAGTGTATTACCGGTCAGACATAGTGTAATTTGTAAACAAAAAATTTGTAAATATAACATTTCCCGTGGAAGTATATTGAATGAATTGTGTTCATTCATCCCCTACCTCCTCTTTCCTTCTCTATTTCCTAAGATCTATTTGGACCCATCTGTGACTACTAGTCTTGTATTGGGGCCTTCGGTTCTTACAGCTGTGGACATGAAAACTTCATGTTTAAGAGGAAAAGGATAGGATTTCTCATATTGTTATTTAATTATTAGTGACAAAATCAGTGGGTGAAAGATTCCTAGGAGGAAAATTATTTGCAAAATCATTGCTTTGACAAATGTTTCTTGTGTCAAGTTTTGGTCAGCACCATTAAGTGAAACACCTACCTCTTGCAAAGCGTTATAAGCCTATTAAATTTATAATTTGATTAAATCTTCCCTGCTTTTTGAATTCATCTAACCTTTGAGGTTACACTTTTTGGTCATAAGATGTAAAGAAAACATTGAAAGATCATATAAAATTAAAAAGTTTAAATTGGTTTTGAATAAGTAGCTGTTTCTGGTAAATTAAAATAAGAAGCTATTTACAAGATTATAAGAGTTTCACGCAGAGGCAGACAGATAAATGTTCCAATTTTGGGTAGTTAAACATGGTATGACTATATTGGCATCTGAATCGACTTCTTTGTGTACTGATTGACAGAGTGGCTGCACGTTATGCTGCTTCTAATAGCTCACTCCAATGTTTTGAGTTCCTTTGTTTCAAAGGAATGAAAATTGTTCCAATGCCAACCAAAGTTCAAAGATTTCTTTTTAAACTCTCTAATATGCCTAATTATGAATCCAAATCAGTATTTGACCTAATTCACATTTGGTCAAAATATAGTTCAAAGCATTGTTGATAAAATCGGATCGATCCGACCGGGTTGACCCGGGATATTTAAGTATGTTTATAATTTTTTAATATAAATTATAAAATTGCATATAATTATCGGATCATGCAATTCAATCAATGATCCACTGATTGAACTAATGACCCGATGACTCAGTACCTCGATCAGGTTAATAACTGAGCTGGTTTTAATAACATTGATTCAAAAGGACAATATGGAAAAGTCATTTCTCCATTGGCCTCAGTTTGTTTCATGAGCCCTGGTTCCCCAAAGCCCAACTATGTTTAGACTAGATGAAAGTCAGTTGTTAAACACAAACTTTGTGACACAGATTTGGTGGTGATTAACTGCAGCAAAAGTGGCCTAGCTTTGGCATGTTAGTATCATAATCACTTCTGTTGTGGAATCCATGAACTGGATATCATAAAGATAATTTCACATCAATATTCGAATGGAATAAAATATATAATCTTGAGGTGGCTTAGCTAAGACCATTTGGTGGATGCTGATGTACCTCCATTTGTGTCATCTTTTTACAAAGAGAACCAATTGTTTAAGAGTAGTCCAAAAATTTCCATGAGGCAACAGATAAATACTTTTCATTGCATGACACCTTATATTGGAGTATAATGCCTTTTATTTTGTTTTTATCTGGGATAGGAGAAATTTGGAAGTTTTCGGTGCCATATTATATGCAGAACAAAGAGAGTAATCTCTGTAACCTGGGGCTCGTGGAATAGAAACTGTATGCAACAATTGAATATAAAGTTGATTGTGGTGTATCACCTAGTTTCATAGTTTTCCCAATGATCAGATGTCGTATATACTGTGTTGGACTAAATTGTTTGATAAAGGTGTGGGATTTGATAGTGTTCATATTGTAAAGCCAATGTATGACAAAGTGAATGGTCATATATGTGCTGCACATATAAGAGAAAATGTTGGCTGTTCATAATTAAAAAAAAGAATAAAATATTAAAGATAATTCAGAAATATTAGTATCATATCAATGTGGATACAATTATGGGTGTGAATATGACACGATTATATCAACACGAACACGATACGAATTTTTATTCATGTCAAAATCTTCAACACGAATACGATACAGATTTTTTGCGGGTTAACACGATACGACACGAAAAATATGCAAAATAGGGGTCAAAACAGTAATTGCCAAAAAAATTTACAAAAATGGGTCAAAATAAAAAATAAAAAATAAAAAAATATGGATCAACACAAATTTAACACATGACATGATACGAATTTTTTACGATTCAATTTTTTTAACATAAGCACAACACTAATTTTTTTGCGGATAGATTCGCGTATCATACTAGATACAAACTAGGGAGAGTTTGACTTTACTTGGTAATGATATGCTAGATTCGCGTATCATACTAGATACAAACTATGGAAAATTTGACTTTACTTGGTAATGATATGCTAATGCAAATCGCTTTTGTGCTATTCCAAAAAGGAGCATATTTTGTATACTCGGAGAGAATGTACTCTTTTAAATTTTATTAAAAGATTTAATACTCTTTTTGGTTCTCAGCAAATTTCACGATACTCACTTTAATTTTTAGCAAATAAAAAAGTCTATCGTGATCACTAAAAAATTCAAAATGAACTCATTTTAGTCCTTTTAGGGACTAATATGGGTCTTTTTGAATTTGTGAAGAACCATCAACTAAATGGATCCATTTTAAATTTTTTCGGGACCACAATGGGCCTTTTATTTGCTAGGGACTAAAATAGGCATCGTAAAATTTGCTAAGGATCAAAAAAAAAGTATTTACTCTTATTAAAAATAGAAAAATGAGACGTACGAGACAATAACCATAAAAGGGAGGATAAAATGGAAAAGTCAGTTATATTACTTTTTTTTCAAATTTGATAAAAGAATGCTGAAGATGTTTCTCGAAAAAGAAGAAAGAACAAAGTCAACAGCCTTTCATTCATTACATTTGTTTTGATCTGTATAGCTTCAATCGCTTTTATCCTTCTACAATATCTTAACATCTGTGATTAGAACAAATATAAGCAGTGGAATACAATATTCTTGTGGATAATAGAAGTATATAGTAATTGGGGTTTCCTTTCGTCATTTAACATGACCACAAAAAATTTCCTACACACACAACATTTTGTGGGACCCACATGTTTTGAAGAAAAAAAAAAAAAAACTACGGCACACAAAACGAATCTCTATAACATAACACAATCATTTTTCCTATAACATAACTCGTATAAAACCCATAGTAATTTAGAAACAATTATTGACATGCCTTTGCTCAGTTTTTTCTGAAGAGAACCTTGCTATCCTACTTGCCGTAACGGTAACTAAGCATACCATTTGGCATTTGGTCAAGAAATGTTTATTCGCATCTCAACTATTAATAAATTAAATAATGGTCCCACTTAATGTTCATATTTTAGGCATGGAACATAGGATTGAAAAACAAACTTGGAACTTATTATGATTATCACTTCTAAAATTAACAGATGAGATTTACAGAATCAATTTTATTACAGCTCCTGTACAGGACTTAAATGAGGAAATCTTTTGTTTTCCAAGATTCCCTTATTATAAGACATCCTAAAGAAACTACAAAACCTGTGACCGAATGGCATGCCTCTGGGTAGAATATGTAAATGTATTTGGCTCTCTTCTGGTAGTTGAGTGTCTATCACATAAACTACCTTAAAAAATTAAAGAATCCATGTGGAGGTTTTGGTATGTGTTTCACAAATGACTTCTTGACTTATTCTTCACCTTCTGTTCCAGCTTTGTGGTGTAACCATATTTTTTGTAGACATGTGCACAAGCTATACCAGCACTAGCCCAAAGCAATTTGTGCATCTCATTAGCATGGTACTAACCTTTTGCCAGAGCCCAGCAGATTCAGCTACTTATGCTGCACTCAAAATGTAATTGCTTAATATAACTCTGAAAGATGAGGAAAATAAAAACCAAATTGAATTTGAAACATAGAAAAGTAAATATTTCAGCTGAGAAAGATAACACTGATCACAACATTAGCAGTATTGCAGATTGTAAATTGCAACATTCCTTCGGACCAAATTCAATTCAGAAAGAGAACTAGAAACACAAGGTCAATAACTATGTAGACAGAGCTAAAAGCCGAAAATATAGAAAGCATCTGATCACAGTCAAGAAGAACTACAGGACAGGATGTTCCCATCAATACGTGGTATTATAAACTTCTAATTGCTATTTGGATCAATAGCAAATGAAATTTCATAGGTCTAAGTTATCATGTTCTCAATAACATTACAAAAAAATGCCAGGATTTATATCAAAGTTACTCTAGATCACAAGAACAAAGTGCAAATGCATTAAAAACATTAATTTATACAAATTCCTTAGCATGAGTTGTTATACTTATATACTATCAAAGGCTCTAGCTTATGATATTATTATTGCAAATGGTCAAACCATGCCCGCCCAAATCCATAAGCATGCAGTTTCGACCCAGGTTCCCTTTTCTCTCATCTGTCCCATGCATTCTCTTTTCAAAAACTGAAAATCCAAATCTTCCCTTCACCTCCTCTTTGGAAACCTATAGTTCCCCTATCCAACAAAAAGGGGTTCGAATCCCTCCTCGCCCACAACCGGCCAAAAGGGAAAGGACCCTTCCCTTTGGAGGTAGGAAAATCATGATCGGGCTAGCACAAAGCTAGGGAACTTGGGTGTAGGTATTTTGTCGAAATGGAATGGCCTTACTTTACTGTTTTCTTTTTTAAAAGAAAACGAAAACACAAAATTTTCATAAATGGTGGATATATTAAAATTAATACAGTATGCCCTACTCCTTGAATCCCCATATTTTTTGTTTTACGCCTCGTAATTCTTCCTCAGCCAGCTTGGGAAGAATAGCAGAGCAAGTAAAAATTTTGTAGCATAGCAAAAATGCATTCCTCATCATATTAATATGTTTGCTCGTGGTAATTGTGGCCTCTCAGGAGAATTTATGAGAGCATCAAAGATGCACTTGCTATTGCTAGTACTAGTACATATGAGAATTCTTAATGGGTTAGTTTAAATAGCCCCGAACTGCAGAACAAAGGAGTATCCCGAACCTACACCGAGGTATTGATGACGATTCTCAAATATCGTAGAACAACTGACATCTGCCACAAGGTAGACCGCCGACTAATTCTACCATAAAGACCGACGATAGACAACAACTCAAATCCCCCACGAACACAATTTGTAACCTTCATCGTATTGTGCTCTCCAAAGAGCAACTCTTCTCAAAATCTCAAAAGATGCTGAGTCGAAATCTCATTCTAACTCAGGATTCTTGTGGTTCCAAAGGATCCAGCTACACGAGAACCAGGTACAGGAAGCCCCCTCCCCCCTCCCCCTTCCTTTTCCGCCCGATTCTTTGTTCTTAAGAATGAGTGATTGCCCTTCTCCAACGCTTATTGTCCAATCTGAAAGCAGATAGCTGGTACATTCCACTTTTTGAACAAGGTTCTATGGTCGGTTTGCGACCCCAAGATGCCAAAGGCGTCCTTGGGGAGATCTCGGATTTCCTACAGGGTGGAGACGATAGGGTCGGTCCATGGATTTTTTTTCCTTTTGCTTTGTCGCATTTCGCTAAAAAGGTTGAAGAGAGATAGTGCATCAAGTTGTTCGCAAGGTTCAGCTTGATCCTCTTCCCTAGGATCCCAAATAAGGAAACCCTGGGAGAGCCACCGACTCCAACTACCGTCCATGTACAATCCATACTAGATCTGACCAACTATTCATCATACCTCCTTTACGTTTTTGAAAGCTCATCTCTATCTCAGTAGAGTCTTTCAGTGGCATGTGTCGGTCCTCTTTCCCATTACTTAGAAAAAGTGAGCCGGCAGTTCAGGTACAAGATACTACCATTACCGCGAAAGAAAATAAGAAAAAAAGGGTAACTGTAACATAGGGCTGGTTATATTTCCTACTTATTTAATCTTCCCAATCTTACTATCTTTTTATCAGTGTTAGATTGGATTATAATCAATTGTTCCAAATACAATAATTTCTTCTTCTTTTTAAAAAAAAGTTACACCACTCTACCTCATTATTTCTCTCCCTATATTTTGCTTCTCTCTCTTTTGTTCTCACTCTCCCTCGTTTTTTCAGCCAATTACGCCTATTGTTTCTCTCTCTATGTTATATTGATTTCTTCTCTCTCTCTCTCTCTCCCTTGCTTCCTTTCCTTGGGAAGTTTCTATATTTGTAAATAATCAATTCAATCCAAAAGCTTAAGGTGTTGGATGGGGCTACATTAATGATTTTTATATTTCTCTAACACGCCCCCTTACACGAGAGTCCATTGGGCTTGAAAAGTGGATGATACATCAGGCTCAGCCTACCTGTGCTAAGAAACTCCACATGACTTGATTAATTATTAATTAAATGGGAGGCGGTAAGGATCAAAGCCGTGACAAAGATGCTCTGATACCATGTAAAGAACCAATTCAACCCAAAAGCTTAAGTTGTTGGGTAAGGCTATATTGATGGTTTTTATATTTCTCTAACAATGTTACATTTTCGAAGGTCGTATTAAATCGACTTCAACACATTCTCAAAAAAAATTTGGTGCAGCTACTTCACTTCTCATTAAAATAGCTGAAAAATGCAAAAGCAAAGTAGAACAAACAATTTAAAATCGAAAAGGTTCACATCATGCATAGATATTAAGAAATTAAAAATTTAGAAATTAGTATACCTAAAACGATATGGACACAAGAAAAAATCTGTGTAGGACAAAGAGATAGAGAGATGGAGGTGTGGGACCAGTTAGTGTAACTGTTAATTTTAGTTTAATTTAAAAGTGTTTGGAACCGTTGATTTGAATCCAATCTAATGATAATAAAAAAAGTAGTAGGTTAGGAAGATCAAATAGGTATGCAATATAACAGCCCCCCCTATAACACACCCTTGCCAGATGAATTCCATCACTTAGCTCCCCGTTGCATCTTAGAAGATTCTAGCATAAAGTTTTGGAAATTACTTGCATAAAATTAGGCAGCAAAGTACGTTCCACGAGCTAATATACTTTTGAAATTAAATTCAAGTTCAAAAGCAAAATGGAAATGAAAATATTTAATATATACAAATATTCAACACGTCAAAAGTCTATTGAGACAGGATAGACTCACATCTACTCTAGCAGCTTGCACTTGAGAAATAAGCCCACATGCTCTGACTGAACCTTTACTCCACTTTACGCCTTGTTGCTCCTGAAATTACAGTGATAGGGATCAGCACAATAGTGGGCACAAGACTAAACTGTGATTGTTAAGCTGCAGTACAATTAGTCTTGTATTATATAATTAATGCTCAAATCAAATCGATGACAATAGTAATGTATTATTACAAGATTAAAAGAGGTAAACATACACAAGACAAATCAGAGAAAAAAGCAGACCTTGACCCTTATATTTGAGCAAGGAGTTTACAATAACATTCTCTTCTATATTTCGTTTCCATATTTTATTTATGGCTTAAATTGCATCATAATAATGTTAAGCTTTTAAAAATTTACAGATATAACATGCATGGTCCCAAAAACCTTCCAAGTTAAGGTGAGCCAGGACACAAAATATCAGTTCAGGGAAGAAGAATAAAATCAGTAATCATCATGTTTTGAGTATCACAATTAGCAGTCATGACAAACGATACTCTGCTTAAACTACATTGATTTCCTGTAGCCATTAGTCACATGCAAATCCTAGTCACATCAGATACATGACTGCCTGATTTTTGCAATTCATTTAGACATAAATATGCTCATGCAGATACACACTTATACTATTACTAATGCTTTGGTAAATATAAGCATTAAGTACAACACTTTCAGTAAAAGACCATCCAACACAAGCAAATATAGCAAATTGGTTTTCTCAAAAATGATAAACTTTTCAAAATTATTCTTTTGAAAAATAAGAATTTAGTCGAGTGTTTCTTTGCTTTTCCTGATATAATCAGCAATTGTAGTAACTAATTAGTCTTTCAGACAAAAGAACTAGTAAACAAATAAGAGACATAGAACAATGAACAATGTCCTATTGTCTAAAGATATTGAAGGTTGAAAAAAGACATAAGCTAGAAGTAGTTCGGCGACTAAAGACAAAAAAATAAAAAATAAAAAAGCAAAAACAAAAGGAGAAAAAAGAGCAATGCATATATTACTTTTTAGTGGATTTTAATGGAACGAATACTAAAATGATTACGGAAATGTGAAAAAAATTGAGAAAGTGAGCCTAACTCACATCCTGATCTTCAAAATGCTTTCCGACTCCGTAGCGCCACAGATACAAATAGCTGGCAAAATAACTAAATCTGCATTTCAAGAAATAGCTATTCCGTTCATGAATAACACGGGTTTTTAGTGTTGATCATATTCTCATTCTAAAAAGTAAGAAGAATTTGATATCCATTATGTACTTAGTTAGCTCATAAACAAAGAGTTTGGAAAATCTCTTCATCATGTGCGTGGAAAAGAATACCAACAACCATCATCTTATGTCACATCAAGTCCCTCGATCAACATTCCATATGTCTGAGGATGAAATTGACAACCCTTCTCCTCCATAAGGCTCAAAAACATTGAGCATTCATCATTGTAGCCACTCTTACGTAAGCCATCGATAAGAACTTTCCAAGCCACTTCATCATAATTATAATGACAACATAGCAAAGTACGAAATACTGATTCAGCCTTATCTTTTCTTCCTTCATCACATAACCCACAAATAAGCAGCTTATAGGATTCCAAATGTGCCAAATGGCCATTCTCAACCATGGCATCTAACAACCTCATTGCTTCTACATAAACTTTCAACTTGCAGCAACAACTAAGAAGTTCATTATAAATAGGCTCATTGGGAGACATTCCACCTTCTTGTAATTGACTCAACAACCTTAGTGCTACATATAAGCGATCCACCCTGCAAAGTCCGGTAATAAGCTTGCTGTAGGTATGAACATTAGGTTTGCAGCCTTGTTCAACCATCTTCTTAAACAGTAGAGATGTTACATCAAAATCAATAATCTTCCAGACATTAGCTAAATCGATTGGAATGAAACCTGGAGTAAACGAATCTTCAACAGAGCAGCCATCTTTTTTCAATTGCATTTCCTTCACCAAATGCTTAAACAGAAATGCATATGTATAATGAGAAGGTTCACAACCAGCATCAAACATTCGCTTCAGAACACTAAAGGAGCAATCAATCAATTGCATGCGCCCATATCCATCAATTAAAAATGTGTATGTCAATGCGTCAGGAAGGATTCCTTCTTCCTTCATCTTAACCATCACATTCTCTGCTTCTTCCAATCTTCCTTGACTGCAGTATGCATGCACAAATGTAGTATATGTAAATACATCAGGCTGACATCCTGAGGATTTCATTTGGTTAAGAGTCCTATCAGCACGATTAATGTCACCCTCTTTCAAGATTTCCACGATGAGATTTGTATATGTTTCAACTGTAGGCTTCAAACTCATCTTTATCATTTCATCCACAAGCAATAGAGCTTCTTGCACTTTTTTGTCTGAACACAAGTTGTCTATCAAGACATTGTAAGTTATTGCGTTTGGCAGACATTCCTCAGCAATCATTCTTTTGAACAAAGAATGGGCTTCATCAACCTTCCCAACTTTGCAATATCCATCAATTAAAGTAGTGTATATCACTTCATTTGCCTTAATATCTTTTTCCTTGAAGGACATGAAGAGTTCATAAGCTTCTTCCACTCTCCCTCTTTTGCATAGAGTGTCTATAAAAATACTGTAAGTCCACTGATCAGGAACAAGACCATTTTCCTTTATCAAATTAAGCAGTCTATAAGCACTATCCAAATGACCAGCTCTACACTGACCATGGATTAGCGAATTATAAGTAACAAGGGTTGGTGATAGGTTGTGCTCAAACATTTTATTAAGCAGTGACATTGCCCTGTGCACCTTTTTTTCTTTGCAAAATCCACTAATCAATTCATTGTATGTGCGAGCATTTGGACTACAATTATTTGATTCCATAAGACCCAAAATTTCAAATGCATCAGCTGTCCTTCCCACTTTACAGTATCCATCAATTAAGGCATTGTATGTCACGACACTGGGAACCAAACCTTTGTTCAGCATCTGATCTATTAATTTCCTGGCGTCCTCGAGATTACTTTCTTTACAGGAGCAATCAATTAACACAGTGTAAGTATGAGCATTAGGCTCACAACCCCTTCCACTCATTTCTCCAAAAAGTTTTAGGGCTTCCACTTTCCTTCCCAAGCCACACAAAGCACATATCAAAACCGTAAAAGTTTGAACGGTGGGAGAACAATTATCCTCTCCCATTTGTGAGAACAACTTCAGAGCCTCATCAATCCTCCCTGCTTCACAAAGCCCATGTATGAGATTGGTATAAGAAACCTCATTCCTTCGACAGCCGTCACGCGGCATAAGCTTAAACACATTGTAAGCACCATCTACATCTTTATTTCTACAATGACCTAAAATCAATGAAGTATAAGTGAATGTATCCGGAGAGAGGCCAGCCTGCGAAATCAATCTTACATACACAATTGCCTCAACCAAATTCCCTAACTTACAATAGCCATTTACCATTGTATTGAAAGTATATATATTTGGCAAAACCATATCATCTAACATCTCTAGGTACAAGTTCTTCATTTCATCAACCAATGTAAACCTTGCCAATGACATAAGAAGTAAATTATAACACTTAAGAGTGAGCTTAAATTTGAACTTTCCATCACCATATAAATTCATTCTCCTCAAGAAGTCCAGCACAAACCTCACATCTTCAACAGAGTCCGAAGATTTAACCATCGAAATTCGAACATTCTCCGCAACACGTAGCATGCTATTGCGCACTAAAATGTTGAGCAATGATGCATAGGAACAAGGGTTGTGCTTGTACCCAGGTTTCTTTGCAATCCAATTGAAGAAACCCAATGCAGCTTGTGGGGTGAGGTTGAGATTGAGAAGAGTTGAAACATGAAAAGGGGTTATAGAAGGGATCAACTTGTTGAGGGAAGGGTGGTTTTGCCAATTGGGGTGGGACAAGATTGTGAAGAGGTGAGAGGGGAGATCAGGTGGGTGAGGGTGCAGTGTAGGAGGGTGGGGAAGAGAAGCAACAGAGGAAAGGGACTTGGTGAGGTGAAAAAGCAAAAGGGTATTTCTGGGGATGATGATTGAAGTCAAAAATCTCATCTTGGGGCATGGGAAGGTGGTGGTGGTGGTGAGTGATCCATGCATGAAACCCAGCTAGGAGCTCCAATACATGGCGATGGCGATGGACAAAAAAATGGGGTTTTTATTCTTTTGTGAAAGAAGACGCTCAAGTTTTCAGCGCTTTGAGAATCAAATCTTCAGAGAAAGAGAAGTTCTAAGGAGAAGAAGAAACAAAGAAGGAGGCGGGTTGTGACTATGGTGAGTGATTTGGTGTGGTTTGTGATTTTGGGCCAAGGTCATGGTTTTTCAATTTCCCCATGTTTGCTTTGTTTTTGTTTGATCGAACCCCATTGGAAAAAAGGGCCCAAAACCAAACCAATTCATTCGACAAGAAACTTTGTGTTTTAAGGTTAATTTGTTGAGTCTTTAAAATAAGTTAGTTGAGTGCTATATGCCTATATCTATGTAATATATGATCCACTGTTATATGTTAGTTTTGAGTGCTATTTTATAGTTGTGACTTGGGCTCATTTGACAAAAAGCCACGATTAAGTATCTTGGCCGATGATTGACCTAAATGATTTTTTTTATGTTGCAGGAAAAAGCTATTTTATGTTGTAGAAATAAAAGTATAAGTGGGACTCACAGGTGAAGGAGAAAAAAAAAAGAGTGGTGAGACCCAACCCATTTTTATGTTTGTAGGAGAGTTGTTTATCTCATGTAAAATGAGATAAACATAACCTTTTTTATTTCATTTTTTATTTTTACTTAATTTACCCTATTTGAGAAGTTCCTTGCTTTGTATAATGAGCTTTTATTTTTCTAAAATTCATTGATTATTTGAGTTAATCTGATTTGAGCATGCCGTGACTCTTCCAAAATCATTGAGTGAATAATGATTATTTAATTTCTTTTTCTCCCACATACTAATCAATAAAATAATTTTTAGTCAATTATTTAATGCAATTTTTTAATAATTTCCTTTTGTATTTATATTATTATATTGCATTTAATTGTAATGTTAAATCTTGTACCATTAACTAAGTTGTGTTTCAATTAAAAGTATAAAGTACTTTTTATAGTTTTTTTTGTTTTAGACAACTTTATTTTCACCCACTGCGATTTTATGATTTATCACTTAATCCCTTATGGATATAAACTTGTCACTTGGACTTATTATGCATAAATAATTTATCATTTAACCTCATGTGTTTGAAATTTTCACTTACATTTATTGTGGTTACAAAAATATATCACTTAGACCTTAGTGGTCTTATGAATATAAAAATATTTACTTTTATTAAAATTTATTTTATATAATTATGATATTATCAAATAAAATTATAATTAAATTAATAATTAAATATTAAAATAAAAAATATTTCAAGTTATTTATTTTGAAATTAATTTATAAGTTATCTTATTTTTTTATTTTAGAAATATATTTAAAAATTAAAAAATATTATTTAAGATAAATTAAATATGTATTATCAAAATAAGATGTTTACTTTTTTTAGATAATTTTATAACGATATCGGGTAAAAAATAGATAAAATAAAATAATATTTGATTCGAATTTATTTTCATCATTAAATAAGTCAATTTTTTTAAAATTTATTTTATTTATTTTCCTTAAATGCATTAGATGACGATATAAAATAAAAAGGAGGGAAAATAAAAAGTTATATGTATAAAATTATAAGGATATAATTGATATTATTATTACTTAAAATTATTTTAAATTTAAATAAATAATTTATATTGTTGGGTATATAATTTTAATTTATAATATGATAATAATAAAAGATAAAAGTTGAGAAAAAAAAATATGTATATATAAGACCAAAAGGGGTCTAAGTTAGGGGTGTAAATGGATTGGATTAGGCTAGGTTTTACCTTAAATAAGCCAAATCTGTGTAAAATACTTTAAGCATGGTCTGGTCTGTTAGCTTAGTGTAAGCCCAAATTATAAGTCTGGTCTGATTTATATTTAAAAAATAAAAATCTTGTTTTAGGCATGTTAGCCTGTTTAAGCCTATTAGACATTTAATAATCACAAAAATAATTAAATTAATATTACTTTATTATTCAATATCATTAAAATAATAATTTATTTATTTTATTTAAAATAAATAATATGATATAAGTTGACCTGTAGGCTTATACGCCTAGTATGTAAAAGAAAACCTATAGGTTGTTTTCTAAATAGGCTTTTTCTAGGCCTGGGCCTGTTTTGTTTTATTGTATGCAATAAGTTAAGTCTGGCCTGATGTAAGCCGAGCCATAGCCCATATTAGGTTGGCTGGCCTATTTACACCCCTAGTCTAAGTGATATATTTTTATAACCACAATAAGTATAAGTGAAAATTTGAAACCACAGGTGGTTAAATGATAAATTATTTAAGCACAATGGGCCCGAATGACAAGTTTAGAACCACAGGGGGTCAAATGATAAATCATAAAATCACAATGGTGAAAATGAAGTTTTTCCTATTTTTTTTTAATTCTTTATCCATGTTTTCAAGTTCAATCACTTGACTTGCAGTTGAAATGCTGACATAATAATTTGGATTAGTTGAACAATAAGTGGCCTTAAAACTCAAGAGGTGAGTGAATTAATTTTTAAATTTCTTTTACAAAATGCCTTACTTTCTTTGTAAAAATAACTTCTTGAGATACTATGATTTGTGATAAAGAAAAGGTAATAAATAATAATTTAGACAAACAAACTATGATCAATAAATTTGAAGCTAAATATACTCAAGTATACTAAGAATGTTTAAGTAAAGGGTATAAAGTTAGAGAAAGTGCCAACTCAGCTTATCCTAGTTCGCTCACAACCACTATGACCTACGTTCAACCTTTAATCACCACGATGATCGTTCCACTATTAATCAAGCTTCAAGGATGCTTGAATAAACCATTACAATCACACCAAGATTATGCTTCTTGAACACCTTACATTTCTACCCAATTTCTTAGGCAATAAGCTATCCTTCCCACTAAGGTCTCATTAATTACGCAAGAAAGAAATGTGTTTTAGACAAGCAAAGCATTCTCAAAGTTGAAATAATACAAATTGAAGTCTAGTCATATAACTTAAAGAATAAGAATGAGCTCTAGTACATGATAATCAAGTAAGGATATTATAATCAATGAGCAATAAGGTATGAGAGAGATAATAAGGCTCAATAAATGATATAATTTCATCATTGTTAAATAAAGTCATTATCATTAAGTTTATATAGGTTTCCAACAAAAAGTAGTTGTTTATAGATGTTGAAAACCATTTTGGACAGACCATTTTCGGGGATATATCGAGAACACATATATCCATATATATAACCCTCCAATATTCAGATATTTGGAAATTCATATACGGCTATGCATATCCGGATATGACAATATATATATATATATATATATATATATATATATATATATATATATATATTATATATATATTCAGATATTTAATGGCAGCAACATACTTTGCATGAAATTTTGATTTCTTGTGCCTCAAAATGACTTCTAGCATATTGAACATATAATATCCCACACTTGTATGATGAGAAAATTGAAATTGTCCATAATTATGACAAAGAGATTAGAAAAGAAAGAGAATATGAGAATAAATCACTTTTCAGTAAAAATTGCAATAAGACAAAATTATCGAAAACTTAGAGATTTATCAAATAAAGAATATTTTAAAAGATATATGAAATAATCACATGTCTAGAATACGAAGTCATGGCTAGCTAGAAAGAAAAAAAGAAGAAAAGGATATATGTGTAATTAAGAAGAAGAATGTTGACAAAAGTTAATAAATCATAGAGCACAAAAGAGTTAAAGTGAGTTAATCAAGTGTATTAAGAAAAATAACTTCACCATTTTAGTTCTTTTCTCCCAAACCTAATTGAACACCGTTGTTAACCATCTAAGACTTGAAAACCTAGCTTCTCCTATACACTATGAAACACACTTTGGTTCTTTAACCAAAATTGCATAGAATCACAAAAGGAGTAAAACTAACAAATTTGGTTTCATTTGACGAACCTTGGTGTGTAAGATATATTCATTGAAAGTCTTGAGAGATTTTGTATCTTGGTGATATTAGGAGTGTTTTATATCATAGAAGCTTGCAAAGTTGGCCTCTTATCATCCTAGGGTGATTGGTGGTGAGTAATCTCAATTTATTTCATGTTTTTGAGAAATTTCAATAATGTTGAGTTTTTACATGAATAGTGCCACGAAATTCTTGATGATGAATGGAGTTTTGATGGTTTTTCTTCATGTTTTAATGTTATAGAGATGAGCCAAATGATGGTTTGGTAGTAGGAGATTCATTGGAGTTGTCATTGGGTTGAAAAACCTAATACTTGAAATATCTTCCAAGAGGTGAGTTGATGTTTAAGTGTGAATATAGATTTCCTAGCCATATAACTTAGTATTTTGTGTGATATTTGTGTTAATGATCACCTTTACACATTTGCACTAGGTTGTTATTGTGTTGAAGTGGTGGTTGTTTGCATTAAAGAGATAAAGAAAGAAGAAAATGAAAGTCTACAGTAAGGTAAACTTCTAGACCTTGGGCATTAGTCAATTGTGTGTTCAACCATGCTCCTTTGAGAAGTAAAGGTTTTATGTGGTGCATTTGGTTTTAAACCTTGTATCACTATGATAAGAAAGAATAGATAGAAAGAAAAAATAGATAAATTAGAAAGAGTAGTTGTAGATAGCACTTCTTTGTGGATTGTATCCTTTGAAACAACCCTTAGAGGTATGCCATCCTTGGGGATTTCATCCTGCGGGACAACTCTTGGTAAGGTATTATGCATCTTCCTATAGAAATGCAATGGTTGGCCAAATCAGAGAATGAATAGACAGAATAGAAGGAACTTCCCTTGGTAAGCCTTCGAGACATACTTATGATATAGACACCTAAGAGCCATAAGCAGAGTAGAACTCTCTTGGAAGTTCCATCACACAATAGATTATGTATTCATGCTTAATTTTAATATTGTTGATGCACTAAAAGCGAACTCTAGGGTAGAGAAATCCTTCAAGGACCTTTAGTTTACTGAGATTTTTATGTCATCCCGTGTTTTGGAGATCCACCTTTCTGGTATCTTCACTGGTGGAGAAGGAGCATCTCATGGTAAGAGGCTAACATAGACTATTTTATATTGCATGCTAATGATGATTACTTTTGCTATAAATGTATTTGTAATCCAACTTTTGAGAAAAATATGAG